ACTACCGAGCCTGTGCTCTGGAGCCCGCGAGCCACAACTACTGAAGCCTGCATGCCTACAGCCCGTGCTCTGCAACAAGATAAGCCATCACAATGAGAAGCCTGCACACCGCAAAGAAGATCCAGTGCAGTCAAAAGTAAAAAAATAAAAAAATAAAAAAAAATTTAAATGCTGGGACTTTGCTGCTTTACATTAAAAAAAAAAAACTGGCATTCTGTGATTTTTTTTTCCTATTCAGCTAACGAATATTTTTTAAAAATACATATCACAGTTCCTCTGATTTTTGTGTCTAAAGGGAGAACTCAAAGAACTTTCTAGCTCGCGCTAGAAAGAGAATTTTGGGACCTATTCTATTTTGTCCCTTTCACCCCTCAGCTCACACTCCTCATGCTTATTAAACATTTAACTAGAAACCTTTCAAAACTGATAAAATATGCTATTAACATCCTTGAAATAAAAACAGTAAAGTGGTTCTCAAAAGAAGGTAATGTGCCCAACCAACAAGGGTTTCACTATAATTAAAAATAGTAACTCTTTCCCCCATTGTGGACAGGAAATCACTAGCAGAACAAGCACCAGCTTCAGATTTACTTCAAGATAACACATGAATGAGGTATCTGAAAAGGTTTGGTTCCCTTAATGATTAACACATTTTACGATATTCCTTCAAATGTTGGAGAAATACTACCCAACATCTTATTGCCTTCTACAGTTCCTGCACATAAAACATCCCTTTTCCTGACACAGAATTTCTTTCCATCTTTTTCTCCCTGCTCCTTTACCAACTGTATTTTATACATGTTCCCAATCACTTTTGTCTTTCAGTGTGAGTGCTGCTGAGTGAGCAGGCAAAGAGAAGAAACTCTAAGATGGGTATAGTTTGAACATGTGAAGGAAAAACTCTTTGGAGAAGAAAATTAGATTCATAACTGGTATATGCAAGGGTATAACTATATGTGTATTATACACAATTGAGTATACAAATATACAAAATGTAATATTTAATTTTGTGTTGATAGCAAAGAGTAAGCTCAGGTATCCATTGTTTGACATAAATTTTAAAGAAAGAAAAATCATTATTCTGCTCTTAAACATCAAAAGAATGAACCATTAATAAGCTAAAAGTCTGCTTGTAAGACAAAATCACAAGGTTTAAAGGAAATGACTCAAATATTCACAAATCCTCTTACCTGTCTCTTTCTAGTCCCATACATACTATTAGTGTTGTATTAAATACCATCTATTCTGCTATAATATGATCCTTATGTTCCTAAGAAACTTTAGTTATCCAAATCCATGCTGTGAAAACAACTGTTTTAGTGGAGGGAAAAAGAGATTGGGAGCTAGAAAATTCCAGAGCCTTAATAACAAATTTAGCTTTCCTGCAGGACTTTCAGTAATAAAGCTGACTTTTTAATGGCTCTAAGGACATAGCTACAAATGGAACTTGCGATTCTTGGTAATTACCAACTTGCTTTAACATTATTGTACTAAGATGAACACAATATTTCTTAGACTTTTATAATTGATTGCCCACTGTTATAAAGAACAAATCTCAAAGCCAGTCAGATAAGCTGCTGCACACCAAGAGGTTTTTTTACCCATACATTCTGGGTGCTAGTTTTTATTATGATTTATTGCTTTATAAACTTATGCTCTATATAAATCTTATTCCTTTATTCATCATTACCTTTTAAGTTTAAAAAAAACTGGCATTTTTTCTCAAAATAAGTATCAGCAAAAGAGTTAAAGTATAAAAACCATCAACTCACAAACAAAGTCTCTCCTTTCTCACAATGACCACAGAATTTAAGAATGTGACAGATATCTATATATGTGGATATTTTTAAGTGCATCTCCTGCTTTGGAGTAGGGAACAGATCATATTATATCTACTCTCTCAAGGAGTAATGTGGAAATCATTACCACTAGAAATCTGGAAAGGTGTTAAGATATTTGTAATTTATTTTTAAATAATTCAGCAGAGACAATTTGGTATTATGAATGTGCCAGCTAGTTTAAGCTTCAACTCTAAGGTAAGCAATCACTCTATAAAATTCAGACTACAAGAGAGTTAGCTGGTATTATTTCAGAAAGGCCACACTCCAAGGTGGCCACTGCAGGCAATTTGGTTAGCCACATCTCAGTCAACAGCTGAGACTTCGTTAACTAGTGAAGTAAGCATCAGAAATGGGTTTTATTGGAGAAATTACTGGTTTGTTAATTAGTGATACAAATGTTAGAAATATGTTCAAGGTATTCAAGATGTGGATTAGCTAAAATATTTTCATGACCCTTCAAACATACTTGAACAGAGACTGAGAATCTTGGAAGCTTCTGGCCTGTGCCTTTATGGGTAATACTCAGGCTTGGTTCCTAAAGGACATGCTTTGATCCCTTGGATCAGAAGGAATTCATTTGCCTTATTCCTGTCTCTGTACTAATGGATGTGTGCTTTGAGCAAAACATTCTTGCGATAAGGCAGCCAAAGCATCTGAGAAGACAAGCTTACCAAACAAAGATTATCAATTGTTTTGTGCCTATTTTCTAAAGAATGTCTATTTAACAAATACTTGAATGTGTGGCAATTTTTTTTTTCTGCGAATTGCTTTCATTATAACCTAGTAGCCAGGTTGTAGGGGAGTAACTTAGAACAGGTCCCAGTAAAAAGTGCAAGTGGTCATATGCGATCAAAACATTTATGTCCTGGTTCCCAAACTAAACCTTCTATGTGATACTGACTAAAATAAGGAACAATATTGATTCCTTTATTTCTGGTGAAAGTAGTTTAGGAAGAAAAAGGGATGAATGAGTTTAGAAAAAGTAGACAATATATAGTTACTTTACTGCAAAAAAATTCTTTTTAGACCCCAGATTTTTAAAAAATTTAAACTATTACTCTAGAGTAAACTTCTGATTCTTTTATTTGGATAATTATGATATTCTCAGAATAACAATTTATCCCATGAGTTAAGCAAAGAAATGGTGAACAGAGTAACATAGAAAAACAACGTGAGGAGTCACATGACAAATCCAGTAGGTAAAAGGCTGATTTTTTTTATTTTATTCTCAATCTTCAACATATCTCTTAGTTTCCAAACCATCTATAATCTAACACTTATAAGAATCAAGTAAGTCATGTAATTGTGTGAAACAAACTAGGTGTAATATTGAAGGACTTTGGTGAGCTAGAAAGCACATGCCTTATTCAAAGTAAAAAAGTTGCTCAGCTCCCATCAGTGGCAGCCAGGGTAACATGTAGGACAGATTTTCAAGAGAATCCAAAAAATCCATATTTAATGTGAAATCTCTTAAACCTCATAGGTTTTACAATTAATACTGTGCAGTAGAGTATTCACTCAACAGGTCTAGATTGGCTCTTTACATTCCTAAGAAAGATTGGCCTTTGCTTGGTTCCAAGAAGGCAACCTCTAAGCCCTTGGAATATCCCGCCTGATAAGACTGCTTTGTTTACCTAAGGGCCTTGGACCACATCAGATAGTCTATGCTAACAATGTGATTTATGATATGGACCTAGTGTCATGTGATATCAGCTTGACCTCTGGAGAGAATGGAGAATAAGGCCAGCCACATAGGCAGTCAGTCACACCTATGTGACCAAGAAAAACACTAGACACCAAGGTTCAGGTAATTTTGCTGGTTGGCAATATTCCAAGCAGGCTGTCATACATTGTTGCTGGAAGAATGAGCACTGTCCCCAGGACTACTGGGATAGGACAACTGGAAGCTTCTGCCTGATGTCTCCTGAACTTTGCCCTATGCACCTTTTTTCATTGCTGATTTTAGTCTTTATCCTTTTGATGTAATAAACTGTAACCATGAGTAAAACAGTTTTTCTTTGTCCTATAAGTCCTTCTAGTAAATCACACATTGAACCTGAGGGTGGCTTTAGGGACCCACAAATACAAATACTAATTTTAAAAATACCAAACAAAACCAACTATGTGAGCCATATTTGGGTGCAGACCATCAGTTTGCAACTTCTGATTCTAGTTCTAACCCCTCACAAGGCCAGTGTTAGAAACAACCAAATGCAGGTGATAAAGGAAGACACTAATGTATGAGTAGGTACAGAGGGTCATAGCTATTCATTGTTTGGCTTTAAGAGAAAGTTTAGGAAAGAAATTCTGAAGAATAATTGGACTGAACTCACTGGAAATTAACATTTTATCTTCTTTGGGTAGACACTGGAAAAATGACAAGTTTTCTGTAGACTTAATATAGAAATGGACATTCTATATTTAAGCCTGAAATTTGCCTCTAAGTCTTCTTCTGCATGTTGATTCATAAAAACAGATGATGTTACTATTTATGCCACTGCTGCTTAGTTGCTTCTAAGTCTTAAAAGAATAACAATCATAGTAACTCTATGATCCCTCAATACAGTTGAATAAGCAAATCTAGAATAAACAGCATATAAAAAGTAAGAAATCAGTTTAGTTTGCTCAATTTAACAAATATTTCTTTAGCATCCAATCTTATTACAAGACAGATGTGAGGTTCCAGATATACAACAATAAATAAAACACAGTCCTTGTCTTAATAAATCTGGGGAAGCAGGGGTGAAGAAAATGTTCCTGTGGAGAGACAAATACTAACTCAACTATAGAACACTATATATTCAAGTTTTTAAAATCTGCCCTTTCTCTTTTAGCCTCTGTCAGTAAGTGAATGTTTTTTCTAGAACAATCTCAAAATCTAAAAAAAAAAAAATGGTTCTGATGAACCTACGGGCAGGACAGGAAAAGACACAGACATAGAGAATGGACTTGAGGACACCAACAGGGGGAAGGGTAAGCTAGGATGAAGTGAGAGAGTGGTTAGTTGTGGTCATGGTAACTCCTGGCACGAAAAGTATAATTGGTCACATAGTTGAGACAGTCCCCATATGCAAAATAAACCACTCCAACACCAAACCCCCTAGAAGCCCCCAGATAAGGTCCATTCAGACCAGGGGGACATATCCTGGGGAAGGTTTGCAGACTGATTTCACTGTGATACTGAGAGTATCAGGCAATTTCAGATATCTCCTGGTGCTAGTAGACACATTTTCTGGGTGGACAGAAGCATTCCCTGCTAGAACTGAAATGGCAGCTGAAGTTGCTAAAAGAAATAATCCCCAGGTCTGGGCTCTTAGGATCCCTACAAAGTGATAATGGTCCAGCATTTGTGTCTCAAGTGATGAAGGGGATAACAAGTGCCCTAGGCATAAAATGAACCTTGCACTCATCCTGGTGACCCCAATCATCGGGGAAAGTAGGGAGATTCAATCAGACCTTGAAACTGGCCTTAGACAAACTGTATCAGGAGACTCAAGAAAATTGGATTAAGTTGCTTTTGATTGCCCTAAGGGAAAAATTAAAGTGTGTTTGAATTCAGGTATGGCAGACCCATTCCCCAAGCCCAAGAGAAGGGACACCTTAACCCCCTCAAAATGGAACAACTCAAGTGTGCCCTCCAGGTAGGAGAAACCATGAAAGCCCTCATGGAATATGGTAACCACGTGCTGCCCACACCCACTGACCTGGCTTTCCACTCTTTCTGGTCAGGAGACTGGGTGAACCTAAAAACCTGGAAAACCGGCAGCCTGCAAGATCAGCTCACTCCTAAGGGGAACTGACCCCACTTGGTGATCCCAACCACCCATTCTGCCCTGAAGCTGCAGGGGATCACTTTGGGGGTACATCACACTCCAGTAAAGAGAGACCCTAAGTCCCAACCAGCAGAGAGACAACCTGGGGCAAAAGACCCCCTGGACTACTCCTTTTTTGTGTGTGTGTGGAATCATTATTCATTTTATTTGCCACTCTTTATGGACATTGGTCCACTTCCACATGAAAAGTAGGGAGCATCTACTTCCACTTAACATTCTATAGAATGTTGTACTGCAAACCAGAGTAACTTACTTACACAAGGGGAAAAATTACTGAAACCATGCCCCAAGATGTCCCCCAAGTATGTTTTTGTGTGTATAATTACAAGCGTCTATAACTCCACAAAGCTAGTTCCTTCTTAGATCAATGTAGTATCTTTAATATACATTGATGTAGTGTGGACCTGACCATTCGGACCACCAAACTTTCAGAAGAGGTTAAAAAACAGCAACAGAGGGCTTCCCTAGTGGCGCAGTGGTTGAGAGTCCGCCTGCCGATGCAGGGGATGCGGGTTCGTGCTCCGGTCTGGGAGGACCCCACATGCCGCGAAGCGGCTAGGCCCATGAGCCATGGCCGCTGAGTCTGCACGTCCGGAGCCAGTGCTCCGCAACGGGAGAGGCCACAGCAGTGAGAGACCCATGTACTGCAAAAAAAAAAAAAAAAAAAAAGCAACAGACCCCCCCGGACTACTCCCTATGAACCTTTCTCTGCTTCCGAAAAACAACAAAAGTGTGACTAGGGATATTCAGGCCATGACAGTGAGCCTTCACATCAGGCCACACAGGTCTTGTGCCTGCAGGCAAAAGACCTAGATACCTTTATTTTTAGAATAATTTGTCACTTGACCATTATTGGCTTGCTAATATTTCGGCCATGTATTTTTTAATTTAATTTTATTTATTTTTGGCTGCGTTGGGTCTTTGTTGCCGCACACAGGCTTTCTCTAGTTGTGGTGAGCATGGGGCTACTATTTGTGGCAGTGCATGGGATTTCTCACTGCAGTGGCATCTCTTGCTGCAGAGCAGAGACTATAGGTGTGTGGGTTTCAGTAGTTGTGGCACGCGGGCTCTAGAGCACAGGCTCAGTAGTTATGGCTCAGGGGCTTAGTTGCTCCGCGGCATGTGAGATCTTCCCGGACCAGGGCTTGAACCTGTAAGGCCAACTGGCCCGAGGCAGGGGAACGCAATCAGATTCACAGGTTGCATCACACCGAAACTCGCCGGACCACCCAGTTCCAGGAACTGACCTGGGGACTTTCCATATGGCCCAGCCTTCCCGCCTTTCGAGGGGCGGGACTAACGGTCCCAAGACTGATGCAACCGGCACCAGATATTGCCACGATACCCGAAGAGACCACCAAATAAGGAATACCTTGCGCCCTCCCAGATTCACCACACCCCCTTCCCTTCTTCCCCTATAAAATCTTGCCCAACCCTCGCCCGGGTGCGACTTCTCTGGCCCCTTTCTCTCGGACCAGTGAACCTCGCTCGGGAGCACTCCCTAATAAAGCTCACTTGAAGCTTTCCTCTGTTTCCCGGTGCCGTTTATCAAGATCCGACCTTACAGAACCCGTTTCTCCTGCATTGGCAGGATTCTTAACCACTGCGCCACCAGGGAAGACCTGGGCCATGAATTTTAAATAGTCCGGTGTTCTCTGTCTCCAAAAGGTTAAACAAATGGTGGTCGCTCAGGGATGCAGGCAGTCTGGGCTGAGGCCTGGGGACAAACGTCTAAAGGCGGCTGGGGAGAAGCTCTGTTCCTCTCCCCGCGGTTATGACGATGTCCCAAACCTGCAGGAAATACTTACGGACCTGCACCACTCAAGAATGAGGAGCAGGACAAAAGACAGAGGGGGGATTTGTCACCGGCAAAGCCCATTAACAATTCCCGGGAAATAACAACAGAATCTGAGTAATAAAATCTTACCTTTTTTTTCCTTTTCTTTTGTATTTCGTCTAGTTTCACTTGCTCGTAGTGGGCCGTGGGCAGAGGCCTTGCCCTGACCCCTCAAACCAGAGTTCCTAGCGCAAAACCATTGTGCCCGACACTGCAGCTCAGCGGGCCATACGCAAAAGTGCTGCGTCACACCACAATCCAAGATGGCTGCGGCGGGCCGTGCGCACAGACGCTGCACCCGGCACTGCAATATGGAACCTGAGCAGCACAGCTGTGCCTGCCTCGCTCGCGCGAGAACTCCTCGCTCGCGCGAGAACTCCACTCTCGCCCCTCCCCGCTGATGAGATCCACATAAAGCAGCCCTGCCCATGGCTTGTCGGCTAGAGCAGCGGGAGGGCAATGTGCAGCGCAAGCTCACACCTCTCCAGTCTCTTACCAAAGAATAAAGCTTTCCTTTGTTTCTGACCAAACTCAGTCTCATTCTATTGCCTCAAACGACACTGGGCAGAGGGACCCTTATTGCGGACTTATTCAGGAGGGTCAGGACACAAGGACATAAAAGTAGAAGAAAAGGCTCTAGCTTTACACGAAGTTATCTGCATATTTTGAAAACAATTTCACTATTTGGTGGGAATTCAAATGAAGGCGTACGCAAATTTAATACTCAAAAGAGGGAAAAACTGGCATCAGGGCATTCACGGCTTGCCAAGCTGAAAGAATGCTATTGAAGATTCCTTATATAAATGTTCCTTGACCTTTGAGTGAACCAACAGATCTTAAAAGTTGCATTAGCCAAAGCAATTCCCATAGCAAATAAAGTTTTTAGATGAATGCATCAGATTTTTTCCTTTTCAGCCTAAAGAGGAATCACCCATCATCACAAGCAGCAAGTTAACTTCCAGGTTGTTTCTCAAAGACCACTGGGAGTCTGTGATATAGAGTGAACACTGTCCTAGTTCTAAAGGGTTTCAAGTGGCTGATGGGAAAATGACTTAAAGCTGACTATAAGATTGCTACCTGAAACAATTACTGCTCAAAACGTCCAGCCCCCACATTCCATGATGTTCTTATAACTCTGGAGTGTAGATTTTAGGGCCCCTGATGATGTGGGTATTTTAAAATACATTATAGAAATGGAATGTTCAAAAAAATTTTTTTTAATGTTAAAAAAAATTTTTTAAGTTGCACTGACTATAGTAGATTGTTGTTATAATACTATTTACTAGTCTAGAAGATTGAAAATCAATTATTGTGGAATTTGCAGAGCTTTTTCATTAATGCTTTGATCACATGCTTAAAAGGGAGCATCCCATTTCCTAGATTGTCTGTACTCCTTCCCTGTTCTACTATAGTGTAGCATGAGAATGCATGGTGCTTAGCATTTTCAAAAGCATTTAAATGTCTGTTTTTTCATTATTTATGAAAAGATATGGTCCATTTTATCTTTTTGTCTATCTCGATTTAAGAATGGTGCTAATAGAAAAAAACTTAAAAGTCATGCCAATTAGGTCAACTTTCTCCTGAGCTGTTGTTAACTGACAATTTAATGGCAAACATTTTCATTCAAGTAACTAGATTCTGAAGACAACCATTAAACTTCAAAAGAAATCAAATAGTTCAAAAGTGCTGGGAACATAGCAGAAAAGCTATGATATTGTTTATTTAAGGCTTTTACAAAAGAAAAGATAAACTTTGAAGTGCTGTAGAATTAACGGTGGTACTGTATGAGGGCTCTTAGAGGAAGTGATTAACCACAGGCCAAAACTCACTTGCTCTATAGCACTGGCATTGCCATTGTTGTGACTTAAGTTAATTTTTTATTCTTTCTTCCTCCGTTGGATGATTTTAGCAATTGCTAAGAATGAATTTATTGAACAAACAAATACTCCAAATCCAAAATACTTCTTGGAGACTTCACCAAAGTAAATAATAAAAACAAATGACTTTCAACATGATGGCTACTCCTTCTGCTTTCTTTGTTGCCCCAGATAAGCAGAAGTCAGCAACTGGGGCTCTCCTTTCAGTGGCCTCCACCTAGCTGTTGCACCAATCCAGACAATAACAATCACAGCAACTTCTGTCCACCCCACATTTGCTTCTTCGAAAAGAGAAGTAGTATAATGCAGTGGTTAATGGCTTTGGAATCAGGCAATCATGAACTCTGAACTTTAAAATTCTCTAGACCTCTTCTGATCCTCAATGTCCTCACCAGTGAAAGGTCTTAATAGTCTTATCTCAAAGGCTTCTCAAGAGGATAAAATGGGATAAGGTTTGGGAAGGGCCTGGCAACTGATCATCATTCATGAATGGTAGCTGAAAATACACAGCCTCTCTTGTGAATTTTCTTCTTCTCTCCCTTTTCTCCTTGCCCTGGAGACATACAGAAAAGGCAGTGTTGGAACAAGGCATGATGGCACTTGCTTTTTCTGATGCATCAAGTCCTTCCCCATGCTATCATCTGTTCTACAACTTACATGTTCAGGCTCTTCCACTCTCTCAGCCTTATCTCCTGCCACTTTTCTACCCCACAATAAACTTTTCTCCAACTGTCCAAACACTTCACGCATCTTCAAGCTCTACGCAAGATGTTTTCCCTGCTTAGAAGGCTCTTCTCAACCTTATTCTACCAAAGTCCTACTCATCCTTTAGTAGAAATATCACAGAATTTGAAGTACACCTCCACCAGCCTTCTGGACTTCTTTCCCATCTGTACTCCCATAAGTACTTTGCACTCAGTTTGCTTAAATAAGTCATGGGTCACCTTGGATTTTAATGAAGGATTGCTATGTCTGTGTTTCCTAATAGAATGTGAGTCTCTCCAGGGCAGGACCCATGTCTTATGCCACCAGTGTTTAGCCCAGTGTCTGGCACCTAGTAAAGGTATGCCTCATTTTATTGCCCTTTGCTTTATTGTTTCACAGATGCCGTGTTTTAACAAATTGAATGTTTGTGGCAACTATGCATCAAGCAAGTCTATCAGTGCCATTTTTTTTTAAACAGCATTTGCTCACTTTGTGTCTCTGTATCACATTTTGGTAATTCTCTAAATATTTCAAACTTTTTCATTATTATTATATTTGTTATGATGATCTGTGATCAGTGACTTTGATGTTACTACTGTAATTGTTTTGGGGTGCCATGAACATTTCTTTAAGCCAAAGCCTGATCCAGAGCAAAGCCCTAACTCTCTTCAATTCTGTGAAGGCTGAGAGAGGTGAGGAAGCTGCAGAGGAAAGGTTTGAAGCTAGCAGAGGTTGGTTCATGAGGTTTAAGGGAAGAAGCTGTCTCCGTAAGATAGAAGTGCAAAGTGAAACAGCAGGTGCTGATGTAGAAGCTGCAGCAAGTTATCAAGGAGATCTAGCTAAGATCATAAATGAGGGTGGCTACACTAAACAACAGATTTTCGATGTAGATAAAACAGCCTTCTATCGGAATAAGATGCCATCTAGGACTTTCATAGCTAAAGAGGAGAAGTCAATGCCTGGCTTCAAAGGACAGGCTGACTCTCTTATTAGGGGCTAATGCAGCTGGTGTCTTTAAGTAGAAGCCCATGTTCATTTACCATTCTGAAAACTTTACTGCCCTTAAGAATTATGCTAAAGAAAAAAAAAGATTTATGCTAAATCTACTCTGCCTGTACTCTATAAATGGAATAACAAAGCCTGGATGACAGCACATCTGTTGACAACATGATTTACTGAATATTTTAAGCCCACTGTTGAGATCTACTGCTCAGAAAAAATTCCTTTCAAAATACTACTGCTCAATGACAATGCACCTGATCACCCAACAGCTCTGATGGAGGTGTTACAACAGATTAATGCTGTTTCCATGTCTATTAACAAATAAAAATCCACTCTGCATCCCATGGATCAACAAGTTATTTCAACTTCAAGTCTTATTATTTAAGTAGTAAATTTCATAAGGCTATAGCTGCCATAGTGATTCCTCTGATGGATCTGGACAAAGTCAACTGAAAACCTTCTGATAAGGATTCATCATTCTGGATGCCATTAACAACATTTGTGATTCCTGGGAAGAGGTCAATATACCAACATTAACAAGAGTTTAGAAGTTGATTCCAACCCTCATTGATGACTTTAAGGGGTTCAAGACTTCAGTGGAGGAAGTGACTGCAGACGTGGCAGAAATAGCAAGAGAACTAGAATTAGAAGTGGAGCCTGAAGATGTGGCTGAATTGCTGCAATCTCACGATAAAATTTTAATGAATGAGGATGAGCAAAGAAAGTAGTTTCTTGAGCTAAAATCTACTCCTGGTGAAGATGCTGTGAAAATTATTGACATGCCAACAAAGGATTTACAGTATTACATAAACTTAGTTGATAAAGCAGCAGCAGGGTTTGAAAGGATTGACTCTAATTTTTAAAGAAGTTCTACTATGGGTAAAATGCTGTCAAACAGCATTACATGCTGCAGAGAAATTGTCTGTGGAAGGAAGTGTCAATCAGTGCAGCAAACTTCACTGGTGTCTTATTTTATGAAGCTGTCACGGCCACCCCAAGCTTCAGCAGCCACCACCCTCATCAGTGAGCAGCCGTCAGCATCAAGGCAAGAGCCTCCACCAGCAAAAAGATTAGGACTCACTGAGGGCTCAGAATATGGTTGGCATTTTTTAGCAATAAAGTATTTTCTAATTAAGGTCTGTATATTATTTTTTTAGACATAATGCTGTTGCACACTTAATACACTACAGTACAATGTAACATAACTTTTATATATGTACTGGGAATACAAAAAATTCGTGTGACTTGCTTTACTGCTGTATTCACTTTATTGCGGTGGTCTGGAACCAAACCTGCCATATCTCCAAGGTATGCCTGTATTAAATAACATGTTTGTAATTAAAATGAATGGACATTCTTCTTTCCAGTTCCCCCATAAATCCCATCCTTTCCCATTTGCATCAAATCTCTTATGATCTGTATTGTGATGAAAACATGAAAGATGCAATATATATGTGTTATCAAATCAATACATTTTTCACCTTAAACTTACACAATTGTGTGTCAATTATATGTCAATTAAGCTGGAAAATAAATAAATTACAAAAGAAAGCCACTGACACCCTGCCTCAGTTTGGCTCCCCCCAAAGCAGACTCTGAAACAAGAATTTTTAATGCAAGCCATTTACTTGAGAGGTGACCCCAAACACTGGAGGGGGAGTAGGGGAAAGGAGCCAAGGAAGATAAGTCAGCCAATAAAGGTGAATTATCAAGCCAGTCCCATGTGAGTGACTGGGATGGTTCCCATGGGAAAAGAGTGTAAATGAATATTTTCTCACCCAAGGAGTAAAGAAGTTCAAGAACTCATCCACCAACTCCAACAGTCATTGGTGAGGGCTACTCCTGGAGTGTCAATCCCCTGGCCCTTCCACCTGCCATATGCCCAGGCAAAGTAGACATCCTTGTCTTTGGAGAAAATACTGGCAGATATGGCTGGTCTCACTGAAATAGTGAGGCTTGCCCGAGAGATAAGAGCAGGGCATGAAGAGCAGCATATGCCTCAGACACTGACTCCCAACTGGAAACGTCGGTATAGTCCCATCAGCAGCCAGGCTGATTCCAACCCACTTTCAGAGTGACAAACATGAAATTTCAGTAGCAAAATTTTCCTTCCCAGAGATAACAAGCCAACACTGAAAGAGTATAAAAAGTATTTTTACAACAGTTGCTCCTTATTTATAGTTTACTTCTAGGATTGTGGACTAGAAAAATACATAAATGGATCACCTGGAGAAGAATGTTGCTTGCAGACAGAGATGACCCTCTCGTATCCTCAACTGCTCTCAAGGGAAGGACTTACTCCTTTGATGATCCTCTCCAATATTTAACTTGTCCTTGACTTTGAACAATAAAAGTAGCTTACGTTTATTGGATGTTTGCTGTGCATCAGGGGGCAGATTTGAGCCCATTCAATCCTCCCCACAATGTGATAAGGTAATTATTGTTATTATCTGTATTTTCATATGGGAAAACTGAAGGTCAGATAATTAAGGAATCTGCCAAAGTTATAATCTGCTAGCAAGTGTTTGGAGATGGGACTCTTACCCAAGTCTATTTGAATCCAGTAATCATATCCTTAACTTATATTTTTTAAGTTCATTATCCTGTGCCCTTAGTAAAGAGAAAGATCTACTCAGCATACTAATTCCATATTAATTGGTCTTCAAACACCCCTTATTTAAGTTAAATTACATCCATTTCTTTAGCCATTTCCCATATATGATTTACATGTTTTTTACTCACATATGTTTCTTTCTCCCAACCTCTTAATTTTCTCTCTCTCAATAAAATATGTCAAACTGCTCTGTATATAGACTACATCTATTTCCTGGCAAGTCCATAAATCACAAAAGTATTGTCAAAAAATTATTTATAAGCATTTATGTTTAAATCTTAAGCTAGCTAAATAAAAGCATCATGAAATTACTCCCAGCTTAAAAAATTATAGCATATGGGACATAAGGCAATTCTAAAGCAGAGCAAATTCATTACAATCTGCAGAATAACGAAACAGTGCTTTGGGTGGTGAAAGTGTTCTGATTATGTCCATAAAATAGGTTAACAAGGACATTCATTCTTTAACCATTCGAGGAAAATTATATCTTAAAGTTGATTTATGTTTGCAAAAGTGTAGTGAGTTCTTTCAGCACAAGATCTCTTCCCAGAGTCCTTAAACTGGCAAAATTTCTATTAATTTCATTTTGCTTCTTTGCAATCAGATCTAGGGCATATGATGTACATTGTGTGGTAAGTTTCAATTTTTCTAAAGTTTCACATTACTGTCACTCTGTGGGTCTTAAATTTTCCCAGTTTCCAAAAATGTAACTGTATATTAATCAAAATAATTAGTTTTTATATGCTATTTTTAACTCCTTACATTAATAGCCAGAATATAAGAGGTTTAATGAGGGGAAGCACACTCATGCTTACACAGCCCTGAATAAGAGATGCAGCCACTTGCCCACTTACGACTTGAGTGACTCTTGATGCATGTATTGGCTTTCTCAGTTCGCCCCTCCAGATCCACCCTTCTCCGTTCTGCTTTGTGCCCTTATGATTGACCTCGGTAGATGCTATTGAGCTCCCTTGCGCTCTGTCTTTTACTTGGGTTTGTGCAATAGAGAGCATTTATTCTATGTTTAAGTCAGTTTTTAACATATTACAGTGGTTTATTCATTCACTCATGCAATAAATATCTGTTGAGTATCTACTATGTGCCATAAAATATACTAGTCATTGGAGATCCAGTGGTTGCTATACAGAGTTTATATCTCATAATCTTAATATTTTCCCTTTTGAATCCCATATTGAAAGTATTTTTTATTGGGCTGTATTTATTAAGTAATTTTCCATTTTAAAAATTAATCAAAGACAATCAGCAGATGAGTGGATAAACAGAATATGGCATATACATACAATGGAATATTACTCAGCCATAAAAAATACCTAGACACATATGACAATGGAGACACGACGACCCAAAATCTATGGGATGCAGCAAAAGCAGTTCTAAGAGGGAAGTTTATAGCAATACAATCCTACTTCAAGAAACAGGAAACATCTCAAATAAACAACCTAACCTTGCACCTAAAGCAGTTAGAGAAAGAAGAACAAAAAAACCCCAAAGTTAGCAGAAGGAAAGAAATCATAAAAATCAGATCAGAAATAAATGAAAAAGAAATGAAGGAAACAATAGCAAAGATCAATAAAACTAAAAGCTGGTTCTTTGAGAAGATAAACAAAATTGATAAACCATTAGCTAGACTCATCAAGAAAAAAAGGGAGAAGACTCAAATCAATAGAATTAGAAATGAAAAAGGAGAAGTAACAACTGACACTGCAGAAATACAAAAGATCATGAGAGATTACTACAAGCAACTCTATGCCAATAAAATGGACAACCTGGAAGAAATGGACAAATTCTTAGAAAGGCACAACCTGCCAAGACTGAATCAGGAAGAAATAGAAAATATGAACAGACCAATCAAAAGCACTGAAATTGAAACTGTGATTTAAAATCTTCCAACAAACAAAAGCCTAGGACCAGATGGCTTCACAGGCGAATTATATCAAACATTTAGAGAAGAGCTATCACCTATCCTTCTCAAACTCTTCCAAAATATATCAGAGGGAGGAACACTCCCCAACTCATTCTATGAGGCCACCATCACCCTGATACCAAAACCAGACAGGGATGTCACAAAGAAAGAAAACTACAAGCCAATATCACTGATGAACATAGATTCAAAAATACTCAACAAAATACTAGCAAACAGAATCCAACTGGACATTAAACGGATCATACACCATGGTCAAGTGGGGTTTATTCCAGGAATGCAAGGATTCTTCAATATACGCAAATCAATCAACGTGATACACCATATTAACAAACTGAAGGAGAAAAACCATATGATCATCTCAATAGATGCAGAGAAAGCTTTCGACAAAATTCAACACCCATTTATGATAAAAACCCTGCAGAAAGTAGGCATAGAGGGAACTTTCCTCAACATAATAAAGGCCATATATGACAAACCCACAGCCAACATCATCCTCAACGGTGAAAAACTGAAACCTTTTCCACTAAGATCAGGAACAAGACAAGGTTGCCCACTCTCACCACTCTTATTCAACATAGGTTTGGAAGTTTTAGCCACAACAATCAGACAAGAAAAGGAAATTAAAGGAATCCAAATCGGAAAAGAAGAAGTAAAGCTGTCACTGTTTGCAGATGACATGATACTATACATAGAGGATCCTAAAGATGCTACCAGAAAACCGCTAGAGCTAATCAATGAATTTGGTAAAGTAGCAGGATACAAAATTAATGCACAGAAATCTCTAGCATTCCTATACACTAATGATGAAAAATCTGAAAGTGAAATCAAGAAAACACTCCCATTTACCATTGCAACAAAAAGAATAAAATATCTAGGAATAAACCTACCTAAGGAGACAAAAGACCTGTATGCAGAAAATTATAAGACACTGATGAAAGAAATTAAAGATGATACAAATAGATGGAGAGATATACCATGTTCTTGGATTGGAGAAGAATCAACATTGTGAAAATGACTCTACTACCCAAAGCAATCTACAGATTCAATGCAATCCCTATCAAACTACCACGGGCATTTTTCACAGAACTAGAACAAAAAATTCCACAATTTGTATGGAAACACAAAAGACCCTGAATAGCCAAAGCAATCTTGAGAATGAAAAATGGAGCTGGAGGAATCAGGCTCTCTGACTTCAGACTATACTACAAAGCTACAGTAATCAAGACAGTATGGTACTGGCACAAAAACAGAAATATAGATCAATGGAACAGGACAGAAAGCCCAGAGATAAACCCACGCACATATGGTCACCTTATCTTTGATAAAGGAGGCAGGAAGGTACAGTGAAGAAAGGACAGCCTCTTCAATAAATGGTGCTGGGAAAACTGGACAGGTACATGTAAAAGTATGAAATTAGATCACTCCCTAACACCATACACAAAAATAAGCTCAAAATGGATTAAAAACCTAAATGTAAGGCCAGAAACTATCAAACTCTTAGAGGAAAACACAGGCAGGACACTCTATGACATAAATCGCAGCAAGATCCTTTTTGACCCATCTCCTAGAGAAATGGAAATAAAAACAAAAATAAACAAATGGGACCTAATGAAACTTCAAAGCTTTTGCACAGCAAAGGAAACCATAAACAAGACGAAAAGACAACCCTCAGAATGAGAGAAAATATTTGCAACTGACAAAGGATTAATCTCCAAAATATACAAGCAGCTCATGCAGCTCAATATCAAAAAAACAAACAACCCAATCCAAAAATGGGCAGAAGACCTAAATAGACATTTCTGCAAAGAAGATACACAGACTGCCAACAAACACATGAAAGAATGCTCAACATCACTAATCATTAGAGAAATGCAAATCAAAACTGCAATGAGATATCATCTCACACCAGTCAGAATGGCCATCATCAAAAAATCTAGAAACAATAAATGCTGGAGAGGGTGTGGAGAAAAGGGAACCCTCTTGCACTGTTGGTGGGAATGTAAATTGATACAGCCACTGTGAAGAACAGTATGGAGGGTCCTTAAAAAGCTACAAATAGAACTACCATATGACCCAGCAATCCCACTACTGGGCATATACCCTAAGCAAACCATAATTCAAAAAGAGTCATGTACCAAAATGTTCATTGCAGCTCTATTTACAATAGCTCGGAGATGGAAACAACCTAAGTGTCCATCATCGGATGAATGGATAAAGAAGATGTGGCACATATATACAATGGAATATCACTCAGCCATAAAAAGAAATGAAATTGAGCTATTTGTAATGAGGTGGATAGACCTAGAGTCTGTCATACAGAGTGAAGTAAGTCAGAAAGAGAGAGACAAATACCGTATGCTAACACATATATATGGAATTTAAGAGGAAAAAAATGTCATGAAGAACCTAGGGGTAAGACAGGAACAAAGACACAGACCTACTAGAGAATGGACTTGAGGATATGGGGAGGGGGAAGGGCAAGCTGTGACAAAGCGAGAGATAGGCATGGACATATATACACTACCAAACGTAAGGTAGATAGCTAGTGGGAAGCAGCCGCATAGCACAGGGAGATCAGCTTGGTGCTTTGTGATCGCCTGAAGGGGTGGGATAGGGAGGGTTTGAGGGAGGGAGACGCAAGAAGGAAGAGATATGGGAACATATGTATATATATAACTGATTCATTTTGTCGTAAAGCAGAAACTAACACACCATTGTAAAGCAATTATACTCCAATAAAGATGTTAAAAAAAAAGATATATTCGATTTTACAAAAAAGACAAGAGCAATGTGGGGCCTATGCAGATATAACACCCTGGTCAACTGTTCTGATCTGCTTTGCCCTATAAAGGAGAGTGTTGGCCAAGAGAAAAAACTCTGTACATGTTTTACTCAATTGACTTAACAGCAAAGTTCTATTATACCCGTAGCATTGGTTCTACATGATAACACACTATTTTAAAAAGTAGTTGTAAAATAAAACCTCTACTTATTTAATCCTTAGGAGAAATAGGTCAGTATTATTATCAAGCATTAGTTTATTGAAACTTTTAAATTGCCAGACATGTGCAGCTGGGTTTAGGTTTTATTATAGAAAACAATAACGTAAAAATATTACCCCTCAATTCATGGAAATTAGAGCGTGAAATCCCCACTTGGAATTCACTACAATCACTGCTGTTACTGTTTAAATGCACATTTCCCAAGTATACCTCACATCATGCTAAAGAAAGATTCAGAAGAAAGTGTATTGAACAACCCAGATATGTCATCATGCAAATGATTCTTCATCTGAAACTCACAAAGGAAAATACTGATTACTCAGAAAGCTTGGGGAATTGAAGTTCTGATTAATTAAATATTCTGGATTATAAGAAATACTTCTACATTTCCAGAGTGGTTAAGATACTCCCTAAGCCATGTTTGTGTTGAATTTACTGTATGTGGAAACACAGCAATGCAAAGTAATGATCTCTCTGGGTTAAGAATTTTTCCAGTTTCTAAAATGATTCTTAATATTCTCACCATGATTCACGTAAAGCAGATACTCAAAAAAAAAAAATTGTGTCAACCCACAGGAGAGGCTCTTTGTTTTTTATTTATTTATTTTTTGGCTGCGTTGGGTCTTCGTTGCTGTGCCCGGGCTTTCTCTAGTTGCTGTGAGCAGGGGCTACTCTTTTTTGCATGCACGGGCTTCTCACTGTGGTGGCTTCTCTTGTTGCAAAGCACGGGCTTTAGGCCCGTGGGCTTCAGTAGTTGTGGCACGAGGGCTCAGTAGTTGTGGCTCGCAGGCCTTAGAGGGCAGGCTCAGTAGTTGTGGCGCACGGGCTTAGTTGCTCCGTGGCATGTGGAATCTTCCCAGACCAGGGCTTGAACCCGTGTTCCCTGCATTGGCAGGTGGATTCTTAACCACTGCGCCACCAGGGAAGCCCTCACTGGCTTCTTTTCATGACTTCTTTACATCCAGTTTGTTTCTTCACGTGCTGGGAAACAGGTACAAAATTCCAAGTTCCTGCTTTGCTCATAATCTCCTTCTAAGAACAGCAGCCCTAAGAGACACTTCCTCCAAAAAATTTGCAATGATTTACACCAGATATGCCTTGTGAAACTTCTACTCTGGCCTCAGAAAAGAGTGCCCAAGTTAAAGGTAAGTTATTGCACAGTTTGGATGTGGAGGAAGCCACCATGTCTGAAGTGGTTTGGTGAACCTTGCCAGGCCAGGAACTTCATCGTGGGTAATGACAAGAGACCACATCAGATTATTTTTTTCTTGAGAGTACTAATTCCAGTCTTGGAAATTTGGAGATGCAAAGTAACTATATAGTTGAAGACTCTGTAGTCCCTTGAATCCTTGTAATAAAGTCTCATTACCTAGAATCACAACACACCAGCAAAAGGGGAATCCTAATTAATATATACAGGTTACTTCTGATCAATAAATTTTTAATGATTAATCAGTTTAAACATAATCAACCCAGATATTATTATGTGGACAAAATCGGGGCACTGGAAAGAATATGGACTTTGGAATCAAAACTAAGTTTAAATCCAGATAACTTGACTTTACCATGAATAGAATATCAGGTAATATTAGACAAGTTATAAAGACCCTCACTGAGCCTCAGTCTCCCTTCTTTAAAATGGTCATAATAATTCTTACTTTACAGATTCTAACAAGGAAAGGACCTAGTAAAGGGGTCTGTCACACAGGTAGAACTCAAGAAATAGTTTTTCCCTTCCCAATACTCCCATTTATTCCCCATTTTAACTTTTAGATGTATTTATGTCCCAAGATCCAACTAACCAACATTCCCACTGCCAAATTTAAAAAAACAGCAGTTAAGTACAATTAAAGGGAGAATTCTGAAAGTAGGCAAAAATGTTGAGAGTTCAGAAAGGGAGGAAAGAGATTTTAAAATGGTAACATTATTTTTCAAATATTAATATTGGATTGTCTTTTTGTTCATTTTAAAAGGGATACTTAAAATCAGGTCACACTTTCCAAGTCTAACAAATGGAATTCAGAATGGGAAAACAGTCTCTGTTGTTCTATCCATTTCCATAAGAATCCAAGAAAATCAGAGAGAAATCAAAACATGACCAAAGAGTATGACATCTTAAAAATTTTTCCCCCCAACTATGTCAAACTTCTCATAAGCTCACCTTTGGTTTCAGCTAAAACTTTCCTATTTTGTCTAAATGGGCCCATCTGATTCCTCCAACTGTAAATTCTCTCGTGTTCTCAGAACAGGATCTTTTCTCCCTTGGGCCTTCACTTTCCATTTAAATACACTCTGCTACTTTTCTCCAAAATCCCTATCACATATATTAGCTTACATGCAAGGAAAGCAAGCAGAGTTTCAAAATGGGCCAGGGGTGGCATTCTTAAAAATAACTCTGAGGAACAACACTCACTTCTCCAATAAAAACACAAGCAGAATTCAGAATAGTTAACTGTGGGATTTGTACATTTATCTTTTCTTTGAAAAGGTAAAATAAACATGAAAAATTCCATAAAATCCAAACCAAAGTCACCTGCCATCACCACCACTCTGTCCTTTCCAATAAACACTTGTTGGCAGAGGCAGGAGGGAAATCGAAGTTTCTTGCCTCTTGAAGTGACAAGCACATTCTTTCCTCATTTGCCAAGCTGCTTTTCTCCCTCCGAAGCTCCAGCTGTTCTCAAAACCCAGACATTGTTCCCTTCCCCGGTCGGCCTCTGGCTCTAACCCTCGGCCAAGACTGCTTCTCCCTGAAATCTCTCGGGGACACCAGCAGCCAGCACTTGGAAGACTAGTCCAAGCTAGTTTGGTTTCTGGCGGGGAGAGAAGAAAAAGGAGAGAAAAGGGGGAAAGAGATGAATGGGAAATACTGTATGTCAGCACGAGAGCTCACAACAATTGTGTTTGGACAATGCCTGATCCTTTGGTGCTGCCAAGTGGTGGCTGATGAGTCTCAGAGTGGTTTCCAGACTTTGAGACTGTGGGATCATTTTTCCACTGTCGTTCACAGCCTGGGACCCCCCAAGTTCTGCTGGGGAAAATATAATATGCTCACAAGATAAGTGTGTCTCTTATACCTACAATTTCTTTCAGCTATCATATAACTGAGAAAATCCATAGGACCACGGGGGCGGCGGGAGGGTGAACTTTTAGACCTATTCATTTATATAAATAAGCTCCACAAAAGACAATGTGCATTAATTATTCCTCAGAGATTATAAGGAGTAAATTGTTTATGTTTCTCCCAATTAATAATGTTCCTGCCTTGGCCATAAGTGTGATAGACGGAGGAGAAAAGGAATACAAAGACATATTCACTTCCAAACTACAGGAAATCAACAATCAGAAGAAAAGGCAAACACCTGCAATTATTTAGAAATTCTGGTTTTAGAAACGTCAAAGCTGTCCTATATCCAGACTATCCTGACTTGATAAGGAACCAAGAATGAATTTTTTAACTCCACACATAGCTGTTAATCACTGTCTGCAGTGCTTCTTGAAAGTACTACACATTAACCTGTCATTACATTTAGAGATGTTAGCCAAAGTCTAACCAGCTGAATTAGTTAGAATATAGATTTGGCAAAGTGTGAAAAGGAATTAAAAACAGAGGTCCCTGTACAAAACAATTGTAGTCTGACTTGTCATTCTCATAACAGTGTGACTGCACATGGCCCAGAGGCAGGAATTCTGGCTCTTTCTCTTTGTTATATCAAGGACATTTCTGCCATCCACACGGTCCAAGGTGACCTTCATTCTAGCCAGTGGGAAGTGAAAGGGGGGGAGTAAAAGGGGAGAATCCACCACCTCTCTTTAAGAGCATGACTCAAATTTTTTACATATCATTTATACCTAATTCCCATTAACCATAGTGTGGTTACATGGCTACTGTCTGAAAAAAATGTTGTCTTTATTTTGGGCATCCATGTGCCAGCTAAGTATCAAGAATTCTATTACTTTAGTACAGGAATTGGCAAACTACACCATGGGCCAAATCTGGCCCACTGCCTGGTTTTAAGTGACCTACAAGTTAAGAATGGCTTTTACATTTTTGAGTGGGTGAAAAAAGCCAAAAGAAAAATGACATTTCGTGATGTGAAAATTATGTGAAATTCAAATTTCAACGCCCATAAATAAACTTTTATTAGAACGTAGCCACACTCATTCATTTAAATATTGTCTACAGCTGCTTTCATGCTACAAGGGCAGAGTTGAGTAATTGCGCCAGAGACCACACGGCCTACAAGGCCTAAACTATTTACTATCTGGCCCTCTATAAAAAGGGTTTTCTGACCCTGCTTTGGAAGAAAGAAAAAAGCAGGTATTGCTGCATAAGTAGCAAAGTCGGCAACACCAACGTGGTGAAATTGGGAATACAGGAGAAGGTGTTTTAAAAGAGGCTGTAAATGAGTTTTATTTCTTTAAAAAACTTTAATATAATTGTATTGTTATCCTTTTACACATTAAACATTACTCTGAAACGTAGTGGTTTAAACAGTAAACATGTATTATTCAGTTTCTATTCAGGGTCAGGAATTCAGAAGCAGCTTATCTGGGTGGCTCTGGCTCAGAGCCCCTCATTAGGTTGTAGTTACAACGTTGGCAGATGCTGCAGTCTCACCTGAAGGCCTGACTGGGGCTGGAGGAGCCCTGCTGGATGGCTCACATATGTCTATCTGCAGGAGGCCTTGGTTTCTTGCCATGTGGCAGCTAACTTTCCCACAGTGAATCATCTGAGAGAGAGACAGAAACAGAGAGAGAGAGAAAGAGAATTAGCAGTAAGTCACAGTGCCTTTTATAGCTAGTCTTCAAAATTTCACACTGTCACTCCCATTATATTCTTTTTATTAGAAGAGATTCACTAAGTCCACTCCAGTCTATACTCAATGGAAGGGGAACTAGTTTCCCTCCATCAAAGAGAGAAATGTCAAAGAAATTGTGATTATTTTAAAACTACCACAACAGTATTTGAGGGGGAAAAAATCACCTGTCTTCAGCCAATGCTAGGGAGGTGAGTCTGCTGATTATAAAATAATTGAAGTTATTTGACCAGGAAAAAAGGAATATGAAGTCTTGGGCTTCCCTGGTGGCGCAGTGGTTGGGAGTCCACCTGCTGATGCAGGGGACGTGGGTTCGTGCCCCGGTCCGGGAAGATCCCACATGCCGCGTAGTGGCTGGGCCCGTGAGCCGTGGCCAATGAGCCTGCGCGTCCCGGAGCCTGTGCTCTGCAACGGGAGAGGTCGCGGCAGTGAGAGGCCCGCAAAAAAAAAAAAAAAAAAAAAAAAAAGAAAAAGAATATTAAGTCTTACATTATAGATGGCAATAAGGTCTCTTGTCTACTCCAATCAATTGGTAGTAGTTACCTGGAGTACTATGTTTTGTTTTGTTTTTCCTGGAGTACTATGTTGAGAAGGAATCTGATTGATAGCTATCAAGTCCACATATTTTCTATCACTGGATTTTTATAAATCTCAAAATTCCAAACAATGAAAATTTGGAGAAAAAGCAGTATGTGAGGCATGTTCAAATCTCCAGAAAGCTCATAGAGCCATGGCTCTTGGACAGATCTCCCAGGGTGTTTCTCTGGCGTACTGGTTTCTCATGAGATTTCCTCTCTCCATTAAGCCTTCCTTCCACCAACAAGTATTTATTGAGCACCTATGTGTTACACAGGTACTCTGGCCATCAGAGATAAAAGTAGAGAACAAAGTAAATATCCCACTCTCATGGTAAAATAGGAATTTCTGTCTTCTGTAAAAAGTCTTAATTTTTTTCCCCTTTTCCAAAAATCATATGTCTTATTTCTGATTATTATTTAACTGCATTAGACTTTCTAGGTCAATACTAAATACTAGTGGTAATTTTACATGTTTCTGGTCCCTGTATTATAGGGTTTCCCAGAGTATCCGTCACATATTTCCAATGGGTATTAATTGACGTAACTTGGAAGAAGGGTTTCATAATCACACAAAAGATTGGGAAATGCTGGATTAAACAAAGTTGAACAGATTTCTCTACTGCAGGCAACTTTAATGGACCTTGAACCACCAGGAAAAGAATGGTATAACACTCTGTATTTCCAAAAGTACCTGAGTTTAAAATCCTGTGTGTTTTGTTTTGTCTGATTTGTGCAGAATGCTTATTCAGGTGGTCTGACAAATGTTGCTGGAGGGAATCCAAAGTCACTGTTTCCTTAACTCCCTTTCAGCCAATCAGTTCTCTTATGTTTGTCTAAAACCTTAGAGTTCACGCAACACAAAAATGTCCATTATCACAGCCATATACAAATCCTAATTGGAAAGTAAATAAATAGTGGCAATTATTCTCATAGAGTAATTCTTTCATATCTGAGTATTTTAAAGTCCTACAAGTATTTTTAAACACATAATTTATAATTATAACTATATACAATGTTTGCTCATATATACATTTATGTAAAGATATGTGTGCAAATGTGTGTGTGTATATATACACACAATTTGCCAAAACAACTTTCCAAATTGCCTGTAAATATATATTTATTAAGTGCACACAATGTATCAGACACTTTGGCATTAAATACAGTGATGAGCAAGAGGAAATACTTTACAAATGTTAACTCATTAATGTAATTAATAGCTGAGAGGGTTTGAGAACAAAAATCCTTAAACACATCATTATCATAATGGATACTTTATAAATAAAAATATAGGTTACAAAAAGAGACTATATCAAGGGCTTTGCATCATTTAGGATTTGTGTGCACTGGATGTAACAGAAATCTGATGACAGTGGCTTAACCAAACAGCCTCACATAATTTGCCTCACATAAAACGAAGTACAGAGAAGAGTGGTCCAGTGGTTCCATGGTGTCATCGGTGCCCCAAGATCCTACTTCTTTTTCACTCCCCCATTCTCATTATGAAGCTTAATTCCTCATCCTTGCTGTGAGATGTTCTCAGGTTGGCCATTACCTTCACCCTCACTACCTGCTTTCCAGGCAAAAATGAGAAGGAAGAAAGAGCAAAGGGAAAGAACCTAGAAGGTTTTGTTAATTATTTCATCAGCTGAAAATGTCATGTAGTCACCCCTAGCTGCAAGCAGGTCTGGGAAAGTATTTTATCTGGACCCATGGACGCACTGAGCAAAATTCAGTTTCCGTTAAACACAAAGAAGAAATGAATGAATATTTGGTAGTCTACTCACCCTGTCTTTTCCAGACTCACCTAGTTTTGTCACAGTCAGAGAAGGCTGAAGCTAATAATAATAATTTTTTTAAATAGATACACTTGTTTCTTTCTACATCATCTCCTATTTATCATACTTTTAGCCTCCAAATACCTTTACACTAGCAATTTACTTTTGTCATAAACACAAACTTTCATGGAATGCCTACTACTTCCCTTGAATAGCGATGAAATAAATGTGTAAAAAATTTTCATTAAATGTTTGAAATTTTCAGCTTTACTATGTTAAGAAATGGTGGCTTGCTTCTACTTTTATTTGAACTATTTCTGCCAGCAAAAATAATTGTTCACATTAGCAGAAGCAGAACATTTGCCAGCATGCAAAAGCACCGTATAGAACAGCAGCGTACCGTAACACATGTTTTCTTACTCTCACAAATCTACTTTAAAACCTTAATTTTTTTTATAGCTATGGCCTCAGGACTTCAGAATTTTTTTTTTTTTTTCAACTTTGTAGCATATAAAAGTACATGTGTGAGCTTACAGTGCCAAGAAAAGTTTTCTTAAAGTTATTCCATTTCTACTTGGAATTCTGGCTTCATTTCGCACAGACTATGCCGAATGTCTTCTAATACGGAACACAGAAATACATTATTATAGTCACTAATCTCTCTATTGATGTCTTGAATTCCTCATTGACTCTCCTTGACACCCAAAGAGCACTTTCCATTCCTTTATTCCTTTTTTATCTTTTTCTATTTTTTAGAATACTAATTCCATGTTACCAACTTTCTAATATTTATCTTCTACAAACGGCTGGTGGAATAGATACTGGGTAACTCTCATTTTTAATAAATCTATAGGTCCGTTGAACCCAAGAGGGTTCCTAGAAACCAGATTCCTCCAGATGTAATGAACTGAAATACCACCTATGAAAAATCTATTTTAAGTTACCCATAAAACCGCATAGTTCCCAATATCCAACCATGGAGAAATGGTTTTTTATACATAATATGATGAAATAGTATGTTACCATGTAAAATGATAATAATAAAGACTATGTGGGACTTCCCTGGTGGCGCAGTGGTTAAGAATCTGCCTGCCAATGCAGAGGACACGAGTTCGAGCCCTGGTCCGGGAGGATACCACATGCCACAGAGCAACTAAGCCCGTGTGCCACAACTACTGAGCCTGCACTCTAGAGCCCGTGAGCCACAGCTACTGAGCCCGCATGCCCAGAGCCCGTGCTCTGCAACAAGAGAAGCCTCTGCAATGAGGATCCCACGCACTGCAACGAAGAGTAGCCCCCGCTCACTGCAACTAGAGAAAGCCCACGCACAGCAATGAAGACCCAATGCAGCCAAAAATAAATAAATAAATTTATTTTTAAAAAGTAAAATTAAAAATAAAAAAGACTATGTTACAACATGGGGAAATGTTTATGATTTAATATCAAGCAGACTGCAGCCTGAGGAAAATGGGAACATTAGAGAAAAATTAGAAGGTAATATGCAGTAATGAAAATAATTGTGGAAAAGGGTCTATAGTATATTTTTCTTCGGTTGCTTAATTTTTTCTGTACTGTCTGATTATTCTTCAATGTGCATGTGTTATTTTCACAATTATATAAAGGGGAGTAAAGATAATTTTTAGTGAGAATCTTGTCTCCTAGCACCTTCCTTTTCTGTACTTTTCCCTGTCTTTTGGTTCTTCGTTGAGATGCTCAGCAACCTCCTCTGTCTCCCAAATGCCTCCCTCGGCCACTTCCCTGAACAAGGGAGCCCCCACTGGCTCACCCCTCATCACAGGCCTTTCCCACCTTCAAAATCTCATCAGCCTGTCTGAGTCCCATTTCCATTGGCCCTATTTACTGGTTGGGTGCTTTTAAACTGTCCATTTCCACTTGAACACTTTAATAACCTACGTGAGATTCAGTTCCCCAGCTGTAAAGGATGGTCATATCTCTTCTTAGGATCACTGTTAGGATTAAAGAAGGTGACATATAAATCACTCAAATTGTGGTGCCTGTCACAGAGTTGCCCCCATTGCACAACACCAATAGCAGTATTCGTAACAGCACTAATAGTATTCCTCCCAAATGCATATATATGCATTTAAAGAAAGTTTTGGTCAAAAGGGCTTTAAAGCAAAAGGACAGACCCATGAAAAAGTTATTTGAACCAGAACCAATGGTAAAGAGTGTTAAGTTTGGAAGGAGAGATTCAAAGACATGAAGGGATTGTACTCGATCCTCCAACTAGTTAATGGCAGAACAGAGACAAGAACCCTAATCTCTGGGGTTGCTGGGAAAGTGTGGTGCTCTCCACATTTGAACATCCCCATCAGTGCTCAGTGCTTGGATGACTTAATAGTCAAGCTGTCTGCTTAGAAGAAATCCCTTCTTTATTTTTCCTCATTGATATTTACCTCTGTCAGACAATCCCATGGCTCCATGGACCTCTGACCACCCACAAGAACAACTTCCTTTTTGCCTTTGGCTGGTAGCACATATGAACTGCTAATCCTTTCTTAAATCTCTAGGCAAACTTCTAATTCTCATGAGACACATATTTCCTCCAAGGAACTCATAAAGGGCCATCCCCTCTGTAGGGCTCTTTCCTGACTGTTGCTCACAAACAGTTCAATGTGAAAAATTACAACCACTCCTAACTTCATCCTCTTAGTTGCCTCTGTCTATCCTCTGGCCTTAATTTTAAGGTAAGATTACCATCGGGTTTTTTCCAACTTTTTGTAGCAAGATTAGGAGGGAAGGGGTGAGTTTTATTGGACACTGAGAGGAAGGTTCCTATAACACCCACATAAAGAGGTAATGTGGGAAAGCCAAAGCAAGCAGAGGGATTTAAAACCAGCTGGAATACAGCCGGGAAAGAAGTTAACACCCCTAGGCTTTCCATGAACTTTTCTACCATGAATCCTAAGCCAAAGGATCTTTCATGGTCAGAAATTATTTGGAAACCTGGTTTCAAACTCACTGGAAAGATGATACAAGAAATGCCTAACAGGGAAGGTTTTACTTAGATTAATTGATTAATTAATGACCACATAACAACTCAAGCTTACTTTGTGCATGTAAAGGTATGAGTAATACCCAAAACCACAAACTCAGGAGCAATAAAAGACCTTAGATTGAAAGCTCTACATTCAAAATTATCCTGATTTTCCTCTAAGCAACTAGGGGGATGAAAATAAAGAAATCAACAGGAAAACTCATAAATCTGTGACTCTGGAAGGAGAGGGTCACCACTCTACTGAGAAGACAGGTACTTTCCCCAGGTCCAGTAGGAATTGCTTTCTATGATGTGCTGGGAAGTGAATCCAGATTAGAAATGTCCTTTTCAACTTGTGTCTGGACTCACCTACCTCTCCCGCTGGCTCACCCACACATTACCACTACCTTTACCCATGGTGAACTCCATATGCCAAGCCACCTTGGAAGAGAATTATGCTTCTGATGGACCTACCCAGCCTCCAAACAGTTCTCCAACCAAAGATGAATACCCAGGGACTCAGCTGAACTCCCAAATTTTATTGACTTAGAGCCTGAAAAAAACAAAAAAAAAAACCCCAGAGAACATACAGAATTATCAAGGTTCTTGGTCAATTATCTGGCTTGGAGTTGGCAATTTCTTTCCTCTAGAATTCTAACTTTCTCCTTGTTATGGGTTGAATTGTCACCCCTCTCCCGCCCCCCACCCCACCCCTGCAAACTCATATGTTGAAGTTCTAACTCCCAATATGTTAGTATGTGACCTTATTTGGAAACAGGGTTGTTGCAGGTGCAGTTAGTTAGGTTAAGATGAGGTCATGCTGGAACAGGGCAGGCCTCTATTCCAATATGACTGGTGCCCTTATAAAAAGGGGAAATTGAGAGACTGACAGAGGGAAGATGAGGTAAACACACACAAGGAATAGCCATCTGATAATAGATTGGAGTGATGCATCTGCAAGTCAAGGAATACCAAGGCTTGCTGGCAAACGACAGAAGCTAGAAGAGGCTAAGGATTCTCCATTATAGATTTAAGAGAGAATACAGCCCTGCTGACACCTTGGTACCAGATTTCTAGCCTCTAGAACTGTAAGACAATCAATTTCTGTTGTTTTAAGCTACCCAGTTTGTAGTACTTTGTTATAGCAGACCCAGGAAACTAATACAGGGCTCTGTAACCAAAATTTGTTTAATGATCTATCAACTGATTAGTTAAACAAAGAATTGGAAAGTAGCTCACTTTGGAAAACATTTGTTACCCACTTTAGAGTCATCCACTGTCTCAATTTCTGGGAGGAATTCCAACAAAGACTTACCAAAACTTCTCAAATAACTATTAACTTTACCTTTTACTCTTTCTTAGAGCCTCCTTGTTTACAGCACTAAAGTTAGATAAAACTAGGGAAAAACTGAAATACTGAAAAGAACATTTTACCTGGAGAAAGCTGAGTAGACACAGAACGGTTTTCCTGGTCATTTTGAGAGAGAGTCCCCCATTTTAAGAATGGGAAGGTGATGAGGAAACTAAGGCTCAGATGAAGCAAGGCCCTTATCTACTGTTAAACAACTAGTGATGAACAGAGCCTGTCTCCCCCACCCCCCATCCCCCCAAAAACTAGGGCAAAACCAACCCTAAATATTAGAAATTAAATGGTTTAGTTTCCCCTCCCCACTGGCTATGTTAAGGTATAATTTTTTAAAGACTAATATCATGACTCACACAAATATAAAGTTAACACACGTCAAAAATTTTATTAAACTGATTAATGAGGGCACCAATAATATGTAAAAAAAAATACTCCTTCAAAAGAGAATTCAAATAGACACTGAAATGGATTTGCTAATAGATGCATACAGTGGAATCAATCATATCTTCACTGGCCAAAATTTCTTTGCATTTGAACAGGAATCACCATCAGTTTTCTAGAACTAAGTGTTGTAAAAAGGCAATGTGTTGTTCAAAGGCAATGATTCCTGTTCTGAGTAAGAAATCCACAAATTTATGACCTAATTTCTGCCCTTTGGAAGCTTGGACACCAAGTATATGGGTGCCAGAAATAAGGAGCACTGGAAATGAAGTTCAAAGACCCTTTAGCTTGTACATGAAGCAGGAGAAAACTGTAAGTATAGGATGGTAGGGACAGAGGACAGGGAACATAAGGACAAGAGTAAAGGGCCGGGTGAGGCTTTCTTGATTGTGTGCATTTGAGAGGGAAGCGATGAAGACAGAGACAGAAATGGAGGGGAGGAGGAAAGAGGAGGGCAATTAATTACTCAGTATCTTTCTATTCTCAGGCTTAACAGTCAACAAACAGCATTTCTATGTTGCTTCCCATGTGAGTACCTGGCACATAGAATTTAGCACAGAAAATACAGACAGACACAGATATATAAAGACACATGGGGATAGACAGGGAAGAAGTATAAGATCTCAAGGGAAAATATAGCTACTCCAAAAACACTTTTTCAAATTTGTGGGTGAACTCTGTTTTGTGGACTGATAATTGTCAAACCTGGATACTTAGAAAGCAAGGTCAAGAGTTACCAGACAGGGCTTCCCTGGTGGCGCAGTGGTTGAGAGTCCGCCTGCCGATGCAGGGGACACGGGTTCATACCCCAGCCCGGGTAGATCCCACATGCAGCAGAGCGGCTGGGCCTGTGAGCCACGGCCGCTGAGCCTACGCGTCCGGAGCCTGTACTCCACAGCGGGAGAGGCCACAACAGTGAGAGGCCCACGTACCACAAAACAAAAAAAAAAAAAAAAGTTACCAGACAAAGAGCTAACTATGTCTTTTCCTCTTTCTCTTTTTTTTAATAAATGTATTTTTAAAATTTATTTATGTATTTATTTATTTTTGACTGCATTGGGTCTTCGTTGCTGCAAGCCACCTTTCTCTAGTTGCGGTGAGCGAGGGCTACTCTTCGTTGAGGTGCATGGGCTTCTCATCGTGGTGGCTTCTCTTGTTGCAGAGCACGGGCTCTAGGCACGTGGGCTTCAGTAGTTGCAGCACGCAGGCTTAGTAGTTGTGGCGCACGGGCTTAGCTGCTCCTCAGCATGTGGGATCTTCCCGGACCAGGACTCG